AAAGGATAAGGGCGGGGAAACAGGAAGGGCGGAAATATAAGAGGAGCATGAAGCATAAGGTGGAGCTGAAGTACAAGGGAGGAGCACCAATGATAAAAGCAGCGCGATGAATAAAGGTAGGGCACAATGGATAACAGGAGCGTAGCTGAGAGAGTGGCTTGATGTACAAAATACATGAAATGCAATAACCACGATTTATTGATCAGTACTTTACAGTTATTACAGTGGTTTATATATCAGTCTGCCAAGGTCTGGTGTCGCGTGAGCAACCCTAGATTACCCTCAGAGCCGCTCATCAGGGTGTTTGGGGTATGTGTTAACCCTTCCTCATTCGCACATCCACCCCTCCGTAGGCACATCAATATATTCATTCTTAAACTACATTCTCACTATCTTAATATTCCATTGTACTATACAATTTGGTCTCGTTTACTGGCATCGTTCAAGTGTTCACCCTCAACCGTGGCACTTGCCCTTAGCGCTGAATTGATAGGCTGATCGTGATAAGCACCTAAGCAGCGGTATGCCCCCGTGTCTTGCTGCGGGCGCCTAGGAAGACAATGAGACGACGATAAGAAGCCTTAAATCCCCAAACGCTGCCCATCCAATGCAGGAACTCAGAACACATCCAGGCTCACCCTAATGCTCACCCTTCTCACCCTTCCTTGCCTTCCCTGCCTTCCCTCCTTAGCCCTACCCCACACCAAAGATAACACAGCCTCCAACCCCTCTACATCCATATCACCTGCACACACAGCCATGACTCTCAACTTTGTGTACTGCTTTCGGTATGATCTTTGGAGACTGCCAACTGAGTCCAAAGGTGGGTGATGGCTATGCACAGTCTAGGTCACAATAAGTCCGTAAAGTGGCAGTACGTTGGCAGACTGGCGATCAGCGTGACCAGCTGTCCCCGTCACGTCCCCGTCACAGCGTGGGAAGGAAGCAAGCCCCTCCCTGTTGTGAGGTGATAACCCCCCTCAACACCAGTTGGATCAGGGTCCAAATGACGCTAGCTATTATATATGTCATGGAATCCTTGGTTGTTGAATTGGGAGTGACAAAAAGACAAAAAGCGAAAAACTAGGTGTACACCTTTTGGCCTAGTGGTTCAATTGTGCTGATAGCTGCTTTATCATGTGAAATCCCACAAAGTCGACACTCTAAGTCATTGGTTCGATTCCTGAGACCTACAATTTCTGCGTGCTCTCAGGCGCCATCAGCAATTCCTGGTTGGGTTATGAGAGCTATACGAGGGTATGTAGCACTCCATAGTTAGGGACCATCACGGTAGATGAGAAGATGCATTACAGCGCTATGGCGCGTTACGTAGCACTGCGTAACGCGCCATAACGCGGTGTAACGCTAAAATTGAGGTCATTTTGACCCTCAAAATCAGGATTTGCTGATGGCGGAGGTGGGGTGGGCGAGGGTGCTGCCGAGCGCTGACCAGGGTAGAGCCGTCGCCCGGCACCTGGGCCTGGGCGCAACGACGTTCAACGCGCGAACATATTCGAAGCTCCCGTGCGTCCCGGCGGGTTAGAACACACCGATGCTCACACTAACCCTTCCCTCCCTCCTCTCCCTTCCCTCCTCCCTGCCAGTGCCATCCCCACCCAGAGCCCTCTCCAACCCCTCAACGTCGACGCCACCACGCCCACGCCCATCACTCTCATCTCTACGCGCTTGAGGGAGCGGAGTTGCGGGAGGGCGAGCGTGGTGCCGAGTACTTGTGGACCAGGGGGAGGTGGGAAGGGGTGGGTGGAGGGGTTGTGGGAGAGGTAGAGGGTGTGGAAGACGAAGAAGGTGTGGAAGACGAAGAAGGTGTCGGTATAGGAGCCGGTGAAGTAGACCAGGCGCTGAGAGGTGCGGGGGAAGACGTAGGGGAAGACGAAAAGGGAGACGGAGGCTGAGACGACCGCAGGCGGAGAGCTGGTGCAAACTCTGCAGGGACGATTCCGGCTGGGTGACACAAGAGGCGCAGGGGGGTGAGGTTGAGAGTTTGGCTCGACGTCCTACTCGAGCTCGTTTGATCTCTTCGGGCAGTGAGCTATGTCAGTACAGTAGACGAGGAAAGAGGTAGGAGGACGCACGACACCCACCACGCCGCTCCAGGTCCTCCAACCCCTCCCCGACACAGTCCAGGAGGGTCTGCACACGAGAGGTGTCGCCGCCTCTACCCGTGCACGAGCGAGAGATGGCGCACCGAGCGCAGGTCGATCGCGATCGCTTTTTGGCGTTGAGGGTTGTCAGCACGAGGAGGGGAGCGAGCGGGGTGGAGTCGAGGGTGAGACGTCGCAGTGCGCTGCGTTGGTGTTGGTGTTGGTGTTTTCGCAAGGAGAGCGGAAAGGACGGAGAAGGGGGCAGAGCGGTAATATCGGAGTTGGATGACCGTTTACAGGGTGGTGTAGGTGGTTTAGGTGCTAATGTTGAGGATAGGTGGAATCGTGTGTCGTCTTCGTCTTCGGCTTCATGTTCGGATACTACGCGCTGGAGCTCGGAGTCGGGTTCGGACGCGGAGGATGCAACTCCCAATCCCACTTTCACTCTCAAGACCCCGGGCCCCATCCCCAATACCACCACTTGCCCCTGCCCCCTGCTCCTTCGCCTTCCCCTACATACCTCGAAGACGAAAACCGTAACGGAGGAACTCGGTCGGTCATCCAGTGGAATCTCAAGAACGGGAGGAAGTGTACACTGGATTTCAAGGCGAAAGCGAAAGCGAGCAACGAACGGTGATAGAAATCAAGTGCATAATATATTCGACATGGAATCTATTGATGGAAGGATTATGAATTATCTACTCTACAGTATAAAAGGAACTCTACAGGGGACCGGGGTATGATGAATACTTTTGCTGCCTTGCGGTTGGAAGTAAGTAGGGATCAGAAGGGAGAGAAAGGAAAGAACTACGGGCGTCGGGTGGAGCAAAAAGGAGGAAAGAGGAGAAGGAAAAAGGAGGAAAGCAACGCGATCGCCATGATGACGGAATCAGATTATAAGCGCTGAATTGATATGATAGGCGCCTAAGCGCCGATATCGTGTATGGCGGTCGCGTGGGCACGTGCTTACGCTAAGGTGGAGACAACGACGATCAGAGGCCTCCACCAACCTGTTCGCATCCTCCGTGCTTCCCGTCCTTCTCGGACTGCCCCATAATCAGAACACATCCACGCTCACGCGCACTCTCCCCTCCCTCTCCTCTCCACCGAACCCGCCCAGAGCGCTCTCCAACCCCTCAACGTCGACATCTCCCTTACGCACAGCCATCACTCTCACCTCCACCCTCTTCAGAGAACGGAAGTGGGGGTGGGCGAGTGTGCTGCCGAGTGTGGACCAGGGGGCGGTTGGGAGGGGTTGGTGGGAGGAGGGCTCTGCGGCTGCGGGGGGCGAAGTGGGAGACGGAGTGGGAGTGGGAATGGGAGACGGAGCAGGACTGGGAGAAGGAGATGGAGATGGAGGGCGAGACGACCGAAGGCGCAGGGCGGTCACTGTGAGGTGGAGGCTCTGGAGGGACGATGGTGGGTGGGTGGAAGAGGAAGAGGAAGAGGCGAGGAGGGCAGAAAGCGCCTCGGCGGGGCAGTGCGTCGGGGTCCATTGGAGTCCGGAGAGGCGGAGGGTGGTGAGGTTGGGCAGGGCGCCGAGGTGAAGGGGTGGTGACTGGGAGGAGAGACGGGTTATGGTCGTTTGGTCTGTCCGGACAATGAAGTGTGTCAGTACAGAAGAGAGGGAAAGGGAGAGGTAGGAGGACGTACGACACCCGGGCCCACCGCGGAGGTCTAACACCTCCAGCCCGTCTCCGACGCGGTCCAGGAGGCTCTGTACGCTCGACATATCTCCACCTCCACCCATGTGCACGAGCGAGAGGTGCCGGACGGAACGCAGGTCGATCGCGTTTTGTGGTTGAGCGTCGAGAGCGAGGAGGGGAGCGAGCGGGGTGGACTCGAGGGTGAGGTGTTTGAGGGCGCTGCGTTGGTGTCGGTGTCGGTGTCGGCGTTGGCGTTGGTGCTGGCGTGTTGGCGAGGACGAACACGGAAAGGACGGAGAAGGGGACGGAGCGGTGAAATCGGACGTCGAGGATAGGTGGAATGGTGATGGTGTGTCGTCTTCGGGGTCGTCTCCGTCTTCGGATGCAAGCTCGGACGCGGAGTCGGAGGACGGAGCCGTCGACACAAACGCGCTAGGGAAGGAATTCGCGATCGGGACGGGTGCGGCGCTTGAAGATGAAGTGGGGCTCGGACCGGCGCCGGTGCTGGTATGCGTAAAGCGAACATGGGACACCCTGGCGCTCGCTACCGTGCCCCTCCCCGATCCCGTCGCGGACCCCGACAGGCTGCACGCATGGCTGAGGAGACCGAGCAGCGCCTCTGGGCTCTCCAGCTCGCAGTTCCAGAACTCGAGGTGGGAGAGGGTGGGAGATTGGAGGACGCGGAGGAGGGCGAGTAGGAGGGCTGGAGGGAGGGGCGAGAGGGAGGGCGAGGGCGAGTAGGAGGGGGAGATAGAGGGAGGGGAAGAGAAAGGGAAGGACAGGCGGAGAGAGCGCAGATGCAGGACGCGCACGCGCGGGAGGAGGGCGAGGATGAGGGTGAGGGCGAGGGCGGATGCTTCGGTGGAGGCGGCAGAGCAGTATGAGGCGGAGTGGGGAGAAGAGGAAGAAGATCTAGAGAGAGAGGACTCGAGCGTAACCTCGCGCACGCTCTCCCTTACGTCCGCGCTGCTCTCGAGGACGGAGAGGACGCGTTGGAGCTG